ACCCGCGGTCATTACAAGGGAAAAAAGTGCATTTTTATACCTGCGATTCCGTTCTCCGTTCGTACGATGTTTCATCAAAAAATGGAATCATTTCAGTTGTTGATTTAGTACTGAAAATTTGACTGAATTATCTCCTTATTAAATACGGTTTTATATGTTTAATAGGTGTTTAAGAAAGAGGTCAGGTGCTCATGTTCATTCATAAAATTATCGTTCATTCATGAATTTATCGTAAAATCAAAATCAATACACAGGTCACACAGGTTGTATACGTAGAGTCAAAAGATTACCTGTATAGTATCTAAAAATAGACAAACTTAACTGACTCCCCTTACTGTAGTGTGTGATAACATTTTGTGAGGGAATTCGATGTTTGCTATACCACTGTTCATTTCAACGCACTTTATGACGATACCACTTTATCAATATGAATGAAATTTTTTGCAGTGTTTTAAGAAATAATTTTACTTTAAAATCGCGTATCATTTGTGAACTATTAAATGTTTTACAAGGACGAATTTTCTGTATAAAGTCAATAATTGTGTGAACTTTTGAAGCCCAAACTTTTTATAGCCTTAAATACGCTAATGAAAGATCTGAAAACTATACCCATACAGAACGACATGTTTTTGAAATTGTAGCAAAACTTTTGGTTGACAAATTTTAATTCGTTATTGCATAAATATTAACTTGAAATATCTGTCATTTTCTCCCTACCCAGTTTACCTCTATTACTCATTATGATGTGGACTTGACATTGTTATTGAATCTTATGCAATTTGATTGGATTAAGTTATTATTAGATTACCTTCAAACTGTTCATGCTTTTTCGTACGAGTATATTGATTAAATCAGAGCGTCCATGAATGTGTACAGAAAATTAAATGACCTGCAAACTGGACACTGGACCAGTCCATATTACGTTTTATCAATGAATAGATTTTTTTTTTATTTCCCAAATTACAGGGCCCATAAAGGGCATAAAATCAGATACAATTGATTTACATAATTGGTAACAACAACAATAATAGCGGCATATAAATAGATATTTAGTATATAAGCATTGGTCAGAATCAGATGAACGAAACTTAAGGTATGAAAGGTAACAATTGCCACTTTTTATCTTTTCACATAATTTTCCACATACACATTATATAAATTATTTTGGATAGCCTATTGCGGAGAAAAAAGAGAAAGTTTACTGTATTAACGTTCTATTCCATTAAATACGCCATTTTTCGAAGATAAATGCAGAAAAACATTTATGAACGGCTACGCTAGGTAAAATTGTTGTTTATCCTAAAAAAAAATACAATTTTCATTTTCATTAGAATATTATAATAATAATAAATCCCAAATTTATGTAGTCATTAGATAAAGTCCTTATATGTCCGATCTGCCTATTTTTGGACATCAAAAGACAATACGATCGTTTTAAGGTCAATTTCGTCTACCTCACGCAATCTTGTTAGGCACTATAATGAAATGGACCTGAAATTTATTTCACATGTTTCCTGAAAATTGATAAATATCAAAGCAACATAGAGCTGTTTGTTCTAGTTCGTATAATGACAATTTAATGTCATGTTTGTTTGTGATGACCCCCCTTTTCGGGATTGCATCAGAATTATAGTTATCTCGTATCGCATGAGGATGACACATGTCAACTGAGCAATTATGTTTGGGACTTAGTTTTAAGGAATGATGTCAAAGTAACATTATGAAAATATTTTTAGTAAGCTGAAATATATATTTATTTTTTACATGTTTATGTCTTGTAAGATATTTTATTTCTGTCCCGTTTTTCAACATTTGCGTCTGGAAAGTTGAAATGTTTTAACTGAATGGTTAATTTAAATTAATTATGAAAATGGTTAAAATTAAATCAATAAAGGAAATTATTGCCCAGTTACAAACACTACCAGGGGATAATCCATAATGATTTTTTTTTTCAGTTATATGTTTCAGCACATGTATAATTAACCCCAACTTTAGCCTGGTAAACTTGTTGTCTCCTTGTAAAATATAAAACATATTTAAAATGATTTCCTGCTAAAGTCTTATATTGATATAAAGTTAAAACCGTCTTGCTTCTCACTAGTCAACACTCCTGTCCTGTCAGGTTTAATTCTTATATATATGGATGAAAAATAAAAGTCCACAAAACATTAACATGGCAGCAATTGCTTTTACAGCCTTTAAGACTTTGATTTTTTTTTACAGAAGAGTGTCCACCATGCACTTGCATTACACTATAATAATAGTAGAATAGTATGATATACATATAGATGAAAATTATATATACATGCAACCGTAATATTAATATAATATATAACAACAAACCAGTGTATTCTCTGGAACTATTATTATATTAGTATAATAGTCTAAGGTATACTGATTTGTATCACTACAATATAATAGTTATTAAGGTGAGGTTGAATTTCCTGTCATTTATTCATCATCCAAGCACGAACTTGTATAAGAAAAAAAAATCTCTGTAAATTAACCTCAGTTTCAGGTATAGAGATGTGATCTGTTTCTGTGACATGTGCTTTTGAATATCCACAAGAACCTGCGGTCATCCGATGTTCAGTACTTCAGTACTTTGATTTATTATTGTTGCAATATATGGGGTAGTTGTAATGAAAGTGGAATAAATAAACTTAATAAGTTATTAAAGAAATCTGCTAGAGTTATAGTAGCAGCTGACATAATGACACCCTCCACTTTATTGTTTAAAAGTTTAAATTAGTTGAATGTGGAAAAAAGAATTCAATATCAAAAGGCAATACTTGTATTTAAATCATAAAAGGATATGGTTTCTATCTATTTACGAGAAAAAATTCACTTTACTGATATTCAAAATTATAATTTAAGTTCAGCTGATGAAAAACTATTGAAACTTCCAAAGCCCCAAAATTTTTTTTGAAGAAATCTTTTATATATGCTGGTTCTCAAATATGGAACAGTTTACCAAATGAAATAAAGATGAGTAATACACTTGTATCTTTTAAAGCAAAGTGTTACAATTTTTTCATGAAGAAGGCAGATTGATATGCTTTTTCATTAATATCTATATAAAATTGCATATTGTTGAAAAAACAAAGGATATGGGGTATACATCCATGACACAAAATCAGTACTTGCACAGCAAAAAACACATGAAAAGCAAAGGAACAGCGCTTTTATTGCTATTCTTCATCTCAATACATTTGTATATCATTATGTGTATATATCATTATGATATTGTATGTACTTTATGTATATGCTTTTACTATTTTGAGGAGTCTCAGGAAGATTAATTTTAACTAACGAAATTGTACTCTATAAATAAAGATTAATCATTTTTAGCTCACCTGGCCCAAAGGGCCAAGTGAGCTTTTCTCATCACTATGCGTCCGTCGTCCGTTGTTGTTAACTTTTACAAATGACTTTTCCTCAGAAACTACTGGGACAAATTTAACCAAACTTGGCCACAATCATCATTAGGGTATCTAGTTTAAAAATGTGTCCGATGACCCCGCCTGCCAACCAAGATGGCCAACATGGCTAAAAATAGAACATAGGGGTAAAATGCAAGTTTTGTCTATTATTTTGAAAACCGTTATAAATAGAGAAAATCTGACAGGGCAAAAATGTTCAAAATGTTGAGCTCTACCAATTGTTCCCATACGTCAAAACTGTCAGATGACTTTTTATAGGAGTTATTGCCCTTAAATGACAAATTTTACCATTTTTTTTCATTTTTGCCTATTATCTTGAAAACTATAATAGATAAGGAGAAACTTTACGTAGCAAAAATAATCAGCAAAACAAGTTCTACAAATAAATTAATGTGGTCGAAATCGTCAGTCAACTCCTTATTAGAGTTATTGCCCTTTGATGACAATTTTTACCATTTTTTTTTGCGTTTTTGCCTTATATCTAAAAAATTATAATAGATAGATAGAAACTTAATGTGCAAAAATGATCAGCAAGACAAGATCTCCATTTAAGACAATATGGAGGAAATTGTCCGACGACTCCTTATTGGAGTTATTGCCCTTTATAATAAATTTCTGATATGATATTGCATAGTTATGGAACTTTATTCATTGAAAAATCGTCTTTTTTTGGGGGTTGGTTGGATAGGATCTATTTGTGCAGTGCTCACAGTATTTCAAGTTGATCATGTAAATTCATTTAAAGCATAAAGACAGGCTAAAAGGGCGATGAGCATATCATACACTCTTGGCGCAGCTCTATATTTTATCGTATTGTTCTTTATTTATAAAACAAATTAAAATATGTAAAAACCCATTTCTCCATGTTTATTTTAAATTTTGTAAGTAACATTGATTAATTGCATGTAACTGCTTGTAACACTTTTAAAAACAAATTAATCGCTTTTAAAACAATTCCCAATTGTCCCACATTTAAACTTCCCAATTGTCTCACAAACATCTTCCCAATTGTCCCACAAATTTTCATTACTTTTGTACCTGTAATTTTAATAGGTGTGACAATAGGAAAGTCACCCTTTGATTTACAGGTAAAAAGTACCTTTATCAGCGACACAAAATCGATATAAGAGATTGAAATCGATGATAATAAAAAATCGAGACTAACAAATTTTTTTGAGTTGAAATTTTAAAAAACCAGGAGGATTTGAATCATTAACAGTAGGGACAGGAGAGGGCTTAAAAATTGGGAGATTTTGACTCCCGTAGGAGAATCACATGTTAGAATCTTTTAACCATAATGTTTAACTTTTACCTTGGTTTGTTAATACCTCATGGAAGGAGAAGATCCCTATTGATTATGGTGTCAATAGGATGAGAGATGGGGTCAAAAGAACAAAGCTGTTAAGGTTAGACACCCTCTTGTTAAGTATCATTGATCTCCACGTCAAGGAACATTCATTTGAGGTGATATTTTATCCATGGTAGCCATGGTATACCTGCTGAGTGTTAAGAACTTTGTCACTGTAAGCACTACATGGATTGTTATTTTTTGGGCAGGTGTAAGCAGATGGTAATGTTGACTAAGAGGGCTATGTTTGATATAATAGATCCAGCTACATTACAGGTATGTACTGATAAAATAGATGAGTATTTATTAGTAGGTCAACAGATTTCAAAGATATAGATATCAGTCTAAGTGCACATAGTTTTCATTTTTTTTATATTTATATTGAATTATTTATTATCAGCCTTTTCCCTATTGAACATCATATTTTTATATCTCTTATATTTTTTAAGAGATATGCATAGTTGTCAACTTCTAACAAGTTCACAATAGATCACACTATTCTGGCTCTGAACCTTTGCTCTTTCATGTACTCCTAAATGCCGCGTGCTAAGTGGAGAAGAATCAAATAGCAAATTTCAAGTCTGGTTTGAACTCTGGTGGTTTGATTGAACAACATCCTGCAGAACTAATTGGGCTTTCTTCCTACCTTTCCTACGTATCTCATTGTTAGGCAAAGAAAATTGATTGAACTGGTGCTTATTGTATAATGGGAATACAAAATTTGAGCAAGGAGCAAACAATTTGAAAATTCCAATAGGGACTAATCAGCTACTTGATTGGATGCTCTATTTTAAGAAAGAACGTAGATTTCCCAAATATAAAAAAGAAAATAAGGCGACAACAATTTATCAATTAGGGTAAATAGCACACAGGAAGGTGGATAGAAGGGTCGTGAACACCTAGTTTAGACATGTAATTGGGTTCTCCTTTGCATGCATTGGGTTTTACAATGCTTAAATTGCAAGGTCCTCATGTCTGTCAGACAGTTTTCACTTGACCTCAACCTCATTTCATGGATCAGTGAACAAGGTTAAGTTTTCATGGTAAAGTCCATATCTCAGATACTATAAGCAATAGGTCTACTAAATTTGGTGTATGGAATGATTGTAAGGTGTACATGTCCAACTGGCAGGTGTCATCTGACCTTGACCTCATTTTCATGGTTCAGTGGTTAAAGTTAAGTTTTTGTGTTTAAGTCTGTTTTTCTAAAACTGTATGCATAGGTCAACTATATTTTGTGTATGGAAATATTTTACGATGAACATGTCAGTCTGGCAGGTTTTATTTGACCTTTTCATATCCGACTATCAATTTTTCAACATGTCGCCATCTTGATAGCATCTCGATACAAATAATCAGGTGATATCTAAATACCACAAAGTCCCAAAACAAGGATGGCATACCAGAGTTTCATTCCGTGTCCATATGATGTAGATGTATTTCTAGTTAAACAACTTTCTATGTAATATATTTTTTATCATTCTGGGTTCTTTCCTTGTTTGATAATCGGCATGTCTTAATAAATTAATGCTAGAGGTCATGTCAAAATTACACATTTGGGTATTCCAGTGAATTCCTGGTGGGCATGAATTACACAATATGGGTATTCATGCATGATCCCTTCCTTGCTGAGTGAACCAGGTGTGCACAGGTAAAATTTATGAAACATGCCATACCAGATGCTGCCAGATGTGATATACATCCTATGTACAACTTTCTGATGCTGGTAGTAATACCAAATTATTGCAATGCTATTTTGTCCTTTAATTTCCAGATTCATTATTCGCCACCCTGTCTCCCATCTGAATATTAAATAATTTTTGTTAATATAATGTTTATTATACTTGCCCTTGTGTCTTATTATTCATTGTATTGACATTCACATCTGGAACGGTGTACCCAAGAGGTTTAATTAAATGCACTAGGATAAAGATCAAAAGAACAGTTGTACAGAAGTAATACCGAAAATCATGCACATTGTACTGATGTATTTTTCCATTGAAAACTTTACAATTTAGACAGTTTTCGTTTTTTTATCTGGTGGCATTTTAAATATACATCGCCAGATTTTAATACAAGTGAAGGAATTCTGGTAGAGTAAAAGAATTCTGTATCCGGTAAATAAAGTAAATTTAACACATGCATAAATGCAATTGATAATTTTCTAAACACATTTAGTACATGTCTTAGTTTATACACTCTTTTTTTGGGGCCATTTTTATTTATAAAATTGTTCAATTAAGATACATTCAGTATTTTACAATATAATATTCATCTGGCGGATGATGATCTTTTGCAACAATAAAAACATAGGGTCATCAGGCATTTTTGGGCCATTCACGTGGCCTTGTTTACAAACACTGTAGATTTGCACTAAATTCCTACCCCATCACTTTTCAACCCTGTATTAAAAAAAAAATTAAGTGTATTCAACATTCATTTTTAGCTCACCTGGCCCAAAGGGCCAAGTGAGCTTTTCTCATCACTTGGCGTCCGTCGTCCGTCGTCGTTAACTTTTACAAAAATCTTCTCTGAAACTACTGGGCCAAATTTGACCAAACTTGGCCACAATCATCATTGGGGTATCTAGTTTAAAAAATGTGTCCGGTGACCCGGCCAACCAACCAAGATGGCCGCCATGGCTAAAAATAGAACATAGGGGTAAAATGTAGATTTTGGCTTATATCTCTGAAACCAAAGCATTTAGAGCAAATCTGACATGGGGTAAACTTGTTTATCAAGTCAAGATCTATCTGCCCTGAAATTTTCAGATGAATCGGACAACCCGTTGTTGACCAAATTTTTAACCAAACTTGACCACAATCATCATTAGGGTATCTAGTTTAAAAAATGTGTCCGATGACCCCGCCCACGAACCAAGATGGCCGACATGACTAAAAAAGAGTACATAGGGTAAAATGCAGTTTTTGGCTCATATCTCTGAAACCAAAGCATTTAGAGCAAATCTGATGAGGATAAAATGTTCATTAGGTCAAGATCTATCTGCCCTGAAATTTTCAGACCAATCATGCAACCCGTTGTTGGGTTGCTGCCCCTGAATTGGTAATTTTAAGGAAATTTTGCAGTTTTTGGTTTTTATCTTCAATATTATTATAAATAGAGATAAACTGTAAACAGCAATAATGTTCAGCAAAGTAAGATCTACAAATAAGTCAACTTGACCAAAATGGTCAGTTGACCCCTTAAGGAGTTATTGCCCTTTATAGTCAATATTTTTAACCATTTTTTGTAAATTTTTGTAATCTTTTACAAAAATCTTCTCCTCTGAAACTACTAAGACAAATTTAACCAAACTTGTCCACAATCATCATTAGGGTATCTAGTTTAAAAAATGTGTCCGATGACCCCACCTGCGAAACCAAGATGGCCGACATGGCTAAAATATAGTACATAGGGTAAAATGCAGTTTTTGGCTTATATCTCTGAAACCAAAGCATTTAGAGCAAATCTGATGAGGATAAAATTGTTCATTAGGTCAAGATCTATCTGCCCTGAAATTTTCAGACCAATCAGGCAACACGTTGTATGGTTGCTGCCCCTGAATTGGTAATTTTAAGAAAATTTTGCAGCTTTTGGTTATTATCTTGAATATTATTATAGATAGAGATAAACTGTAAACAGCAATAATGTACAGCAAAGTTAGATCTACAAATAAGTCAACATGACCAAAATGGTCAATTGACCCCTTAAGGAGTTATTGCCCTTTATAGTCAATTTTTTACAATTTTCATAAATTTTGTAAATTTTTGTAAATTTTTACAAAATATTTTCCACTGTGACTACCGGGCCAAGTTCATTATAGATAGAGATAATAGTAAGGAGCAAGAATGTTCAGTAAAGTAAGATTTACAAACACATCACCATCACCAAAACACAATTTTGTCATGAATCCATCTGTGTCCTTTGTTTAATATGCACATAGACCAAGGTGAGTGTTTAATATGCACATAGACCAAGGTGAGCGACACAGGCTCTTTAGAGCCTCTAGTTTTATTTTTTTTAACCCTAGTTTTGATCCATCTATCAAAAAATATTTATTACAAACATTATCTACCAATCAGTGGAGCACAGGACTTTAGTGTTATACAGAAAGCTTTTCCCCAAATGGGGGTCCTTAATGATGTATATTTATTTACTGAATATACCCCCATGAAGTCTTAAAAATATAACATATTTATGTTTTCTATTTTAATGTATTTCTACAAAAACATAAAATATGAGTACCTGGTAGATGATTACTTATTTGAAAGGGTAACATATATAACAATGATGAAAACACAACTCTTATATTAACACTGTTGTGGGAATAAGTTTTTAGCTCACCGTTCCAAAGGTCGTCCATCGTCTGTCTGGTGTAAACTATTTCAAACATCTTCTCCTCTGAAACTACTGAACCAATTCCAACCAAACTTAAGCTGAATGATGCTTAGGGTATCTAGAATAAAGTTTGTGTTTTATTTACTGTTTCGTCAAATAAAATGGCCGCCAGGGCTAAAAATAGAACATAGAGGTAAAATGCAGTTTTTGGCTTATATCTCAAAAACCAAAGCATTTAGAGCAAATCTGTCAAGGGGTTCAAGTGTTCATTAGGTGAAGTTCTATCAGCCCTAAAATTTGGGTTGCTGCCACTAAATTGGTAATTTTAAGGAAATTTTGCAGTTTTTGGTTATTATCTTGAATATTATTAATGATAAAGATAAACTGTGAACAGCAATAATGTTCAGCAAAGTAAGATCTACAAATAAGTCAACTTGACCAAAATGGTCAGTTGACCCCTTAAGGAGTTATTGCCCTTTATAGTCAATATTTTTAACCATTTTTTGTAAATTTTTGTAATCTTTTACAAAAATCTTCTCCTCTGAAACTACTAAGACAAATTTAACCAAACTTGTCCACAATCATCATTAGGGTATCTAGTTTAAAAAATGTGTCCGATGACCCAGCCTGCGAACCAAGATGGCCGACATGGCTAAAAAATAGTACATAGGGTAAAATGCAGTTTTTGGCTTATATCTCTGAAACCAAAGCATTTAGAGCAAATCTGATGAAGATTAAATTGTTCATTAGGTCAAGATCTATCTGCCCTGAAATTTTCAGACCAATCAGGCAACACGTTGTATGGTTGCTGCCCCTGAATTGGTAATTTTAAGAAAATTTTGCAGCTTTTGGTTATTATCTTGAATAATATTATAGATAGAGATAAACTGTAAACAGCAATAATGTACAGCAAAGTTAGATCTACAAATAAGTCAACATGACCAAAATGGTCAATTGACCCCTTAAGGAGTTATTGCCCTTTATAGTCAATTTTTTACAATTTTCATAAATTTTGTAAATTTTTGTAAATTTTTACAAAATATTTTCCACTGTAACTACCGGGCCAAGTTCATTATAGATAGAGATAATAGTAAGGAGCAAGAATGTTCAGTAAAGTAAGATTTACAAACACATCACCATCACCAAAACACAATTTTGTCATGAATCCATCTGTGTCCTTTGTTTAATATGCACATAGAACAAGGTGAGTGTTTAATATGCACATAGACCAAGGTGAGCTACACAGGCTCTTTAGAGCCTCTAGTTTTATTTTTTTTAACCCTAGTTTTGATCCATCTATCAAAAAATATTTATTACAAACATTATCTACCAATCAGTGGAGCACAGGACTTTAGTGTTATACAGAAAGCTTTCCCCCAAATGGGGGTCCTTAATGACGTATATTTATTTACTGAATATACCCCCATGAAGTCTTTAAAATATAACATATTTATGTTTTCTATTTTAATGTATTTCTACAAAAACATAAAATATGAGTACCTGGTAGATGATTACTTATTTGAAAGGGTAACATATATAACAATGATGAAAACACAACTCTTATATTAACACTGTTGTGGGAATAAGTTTTTAGCTCACCGTTCCGAAGGTCGTCGTCTGTCTGGTGTAAACTATTTCAAACATCTTCTCCTCTGAAACTACTGAACCAATTCCAACCAAACTTAAGCTGAATGATGCTTAGGGTATCTAGAATAAAGTTTGTGTTTTATTTACTGTTTCGTCAAATAAAATGGCCGCCAGGGCTAAAAATAGAACATAGAGGTAAAATGCAGTTTTTGGCTTATATCTCAAAAACCAAAGCATTTAGAGCAAATCTGTCAAGGGGTTCAAGTGTTCATTAGGTGAAGTTCTATCAGCCCTGAAATTTGGGTTGCTGCCACTAAATTGGTAATTTTAAGGAAATTTTGCAGTTTTTGGTTATTATCTTGAATATTATTAATGATAAAGATAAACTGTGAACAGCAAAAATGTTCAGCACGGTAAGATCTACAAATAAGTTCATTTGATCAAAATTGTCAATTGACCCCTTAAGGAGTTATTGCCCTTTAAGGACAATTTTACACAATTTGTTTATCATAGATATAAGAAGATGTGTAATGAGTGCCAATGAGACAACTCTCCATCCAAGTCAAAATTTATAAAAGTAAACCATTATAGGTCACAGTACGGTCTTCAACACGGAGCCTTGGCTCACACCGAACAGTAAGCTATAAAGGGCCCCAAAAAATTACTAGTGTAAAACCATTCAAACGGGAAAACCAACGGTCTAATCTATATAAAAAACGAGAAATGAGAAACACTTATGAACCACATCAACAAACAACTACTGAACATCAGATTCCTGACTTAGGACAGGTGCAAACAAATGCAGCGGGTTTAAACGTTTTTATGTTTTCTAACTTTAAAAAATCTTCTCCTCTGAAACTACTGAACCAATTCCAACCAAACTTAAGCTGAATGATTCTAAGGGTATCTAGAATGAAGTTTGTGTTTTATTTTCTGTTTCGTAAAAAAACATGGCTTCCATGGCTAAAAATAGAACGTAGGGGTAAAATGCAATTTTTGACTTATATCTCAAAAACCAAAGCATTTAGAGCTAATCTGATGAGAGGTAAAAATGTTTAATAGGCCAAGCTCTGTCAGCCCTGAAATTTTCAGATGAATCTAACAACCCATTGTTGGGTTGCTGCCACTTAATTGGTAATTTTAAGGAAAATTTGCAGATTTTGGTTATCTTGAATATTATTAATGATAAAGATAAACTGTAAACATCAAAAGTGTTCAGCAAAGTAAGATCTACAAATAAGTTCGTATAACCAAAATTGTCAATTGTCCCCTTAAGGAGTTATTGCCCTTTAAAATATTTAGTTTGCTTACTTTAAAAAATCTTCTCCTTTGAAACTGCTGAATCAATTTCAGCCAAACTTGGGTTGCATGAGTTTCAGAGTATCTAGTATAAATTTTGTATTTTATTTTCTTGTATGTCAAGAAACATAGCCACTATGGCTAAAATGAAACATAGGGGTAAAATGCATTTCTTTGATTTTGAAGAAAATATGACAGATACAAAGAACATTTCAATGGAAGTTTTAAGCCATTCATTAATATATATTGAAAAAGCAAAAATAATCATTTAAATAAATAATAAAGATTTTAAGCAAAAAATTACAGGTGAGCAATTCAGGCTCTTGAGAGCCTCTTGTTTATTTACAGGAATGATATATTCCACTCTAAGAGTGGTATCTATATTGCAATCCCCTTGTCCGTCTGTCCTTATTTCCATTCATCCTACAATTATTTCAACCCCACTTTTCTCTGGTACTTCTGAATGACATCATATTTCATCAGCAGATTGACAGTGATGAGTTGTAAACTGTGAGCACTTTTAAGATCTTCTTATTAACACTGATACAGGATTGACTGTTGTGTTTGTAGTGAATTTTAACACTGAAAGAAGTCTCCTGTATAAGGTATAGAACAACTAAGGGCCCAGTCAGAAAGAAAATACAAGAAAGTACATGTAGTACATATTTTAACAAAATAGTTCCTACGCATAGCTGTAACCTTGTCAATAAGTAAAATATATGAGTATTTGTGGTATGAAATGAAAGCTTAAGTACTTGGGAGTTGGGATCACTGTAGAACCCTTGTTAAAAGTTTCTTACTATTAATAAAAAGATATATGAAATTAAAATAGGAGGGCATATTTGCCTTGTTGTTCAGCTCAGAAGTACCTGATTTTGTACAACCTAACTTCTGGGAACCAGTGCGCTCTAATATGCAACTAAAGGTATGTTGAATTTTTCAGCACAAGTCAGGGTAAGGTATATTTTCACATAAAATGACTGTCAAAATAGCTATGAAAGCTTGAAATTGCAGGTTTTAACATAGATATGAATCTGTGGTTTTATTCCATAAATTGGACAATATAACACTGTTTAGAGAAATCTGTTATATTTGCAGGTCACTATTAACACTGATATTAGAAAAAGGGATATTAACATTGATGTTAGCTGTTCACTATTAACACTGATGGAGATTCCCTCTTGTATCTAGAGGCCAATATTAACACTGATGCAGATTTCCTCTTGTATCTAGAGGCCAATATTAACACTGATGGAGATTCCCTCTTGTATCCAGAGGTCAATATTAACACTTATGAGAGAATGACTATTATATTTACAGGTCAATATTTACACTGATGGAGATTCCCTCTTGTAGCAAGAGGTCAATATTAACACTGATGAGAGAATGACTATTATATTTACAGGTCAATATTAACACTGATGGAGATTCCCTCTTGTATCTAGAGGTCAATATTAACACTGATTAGAGAATGACTATTATATTTACAGGTCAATATTAACACTGATGGAGATTCCCTCTTGTAGCAAGAGGTCAATATTAACACTGATTAGAGAATGACTATTATATTTACAGGTTAATATTAACACTGATGGAGATTCCCTCTTGTAGCCAGCGGTCAATATTAACACTGATGGAGCTTCCCTCTTGTATCTAGAGGTCAATATTAACACTGATGAGAGAATGATTATTGTATTTACAGGTCAATATTAACACTGATGGAGATTCCCTCTTGTATCTAGAGGTCAATATAAACGCTGATGGAGAATCCCTCTTGTATCTAGAGGTCAATATTAACACTGATTAGAGAATGACTATTATATTTACAGGTCAATAATAACACTGATGGCGATACCCTCCTGTAGCAAGAGGTCAATATTAACGCTGATGAAAGAATTTGTATTTACAGGTCACTATTAACACTAATGAAAGAATGAATGTTTTTAAACATCATTTTCTGTCAAATCCTGGTACAAAGAAAATTCCTGAATATTGGAGGGATGAAATACTACTGTATGAAGAAATCCCATGGGTTGTCAAGAAAGAAAAGACATGGGAATTTGCGAAGAAAAGGGTTAGTTTTGAATAGAATGAAAATCACCTTCTTTATATGATACCTCTGATTTAACTAATGAGGTATAATGTATATTGATTTACTTCCATCATTCCGTCTATCTGTCTGCATCTGTCTATTCTTCCTTTAAATATTTGTCACATTTTTCCATAAACTACAAATCAGTTTGCTGCTTACAATATATAAATATTGATTTATTGGTTATTCTGTGTTTAATGCCACTTTCAGCACTATTGGCTATTTCGAGGTGGCCAGTTTTTATTAGTGGAGGAAGCCGGAGTGTCCTGAGAGAACCACTGACCTTTGGCAAGAAAACTGGCAATCCTAGTTAAGATCAGAGTTGAAAGCAACTGCCATATGCCGGATTTATACTCACAAAATCAGTGTTGACAGGCTAGTAAGGGGATGACCATTTGGTATTCTTGGGTGTTGGGGAGGAGGATTTTGAAAATGAATAATTTGGACTGGGAAGAACTGCATAAGACAGGATGAAAAAGAATATTCTGCAACATAAAATGTTTACAATATTGATAATAAATTTTCTTGTGGCAAAGCAGCAGAAAAAATAAGCATGTGTAGAACAGATGAAAATAAATGATCAATCAGGAAAAATCCTCCTCCCCACACCTCAGTGCTATATGTGTTATCATCTCAATTCTCAATTTTATTTACATCATTGTAGTTGTTAAAAGTATTGACATTATTCAATTATGGAATTTGTTAAGAAAGTATTATTCATGTGTTGTTTTCTTGTAACATTTTATTTAATTGATATTTGAATGTTGAAGAACATGAGAACCATTTTAAAAATAAATCTTTGTAAATCATGTGAGATTTTTGTCTATATTCATATTTCAATTTTTTGCTGCCTGGGTAGGACAAAGTCCAAAACTAGTATATAGTATAATGATGTCAGGCAGGCGGAGGAATATAGGTACCTAATTATTGTAATCAAATTCTAGTTTTCAACCCAGGCCCCTCAAATTTCACAGAAAGATTGCACACATGTGTAAGTTGTGCACCGGCTATTATGGAATTGTTTGAGTGAGGAAATTTTTGCAATTTTTCAAGACTAGGGAACTTTATTCATTTTTCAGCAAAATTTATGAAAGACAGTACCATTTTTGTTGAGCTTGCGACTTTTGTCCCAAAAGCGAGACATAGCGATCCTACATTCTGTCGGCAGCGGCGGCGCCGTCCACAAATATTCACTCTGTGGTTAAATTTTTTTAAATTTTAATAACTTTCTTAAAATATCCTGGATTTCTACCAAACTTGGACAGAAGCTTGTTTATAATGATCATAAGATAGTATCCAGAAGTAAATTTTGTAAAATTATTTCACTTATAAATGGACTTAGTTTTTCTGCCAGTTAACATTACATTCACTCTGTGGTTAAAGTTTTAAAAATTTTAATAACTTTCTTAAACTATCCTGGATTTGTACCAAACTTAGACAGAAGCTTGTTTATGATCAAAAGCTAGTATCTAAAAGGAAATTTTGTAAAAATATATTTCCTGTTTTTCCATATATTACTTATAAATGGACTTAGTTTTTCTTCCAGTTAACATTACATAAAGTCTGTAGTTAAAGTTTTTAAAACATTTATTAGATTCATAAACCATTCTGGATTTTTACCAAACTTGGACAGAAGCTTCTTACAATCAAAAGATAGTATCTATAGGAAAATTTTTAATAATTTTTTCCCCATTTTTGTTGAGCCTGTGACTAGCAGCAAAAGTAGGCGAGACACTATGTTCCGCGGAACCCTTACGAATTTTTACTACAGGTGTAACACAGATTATTGAAACTTCACAAAATAATTGCATTTATATTGCAGTTGTGCTCCTGATTTTATGGGTTTTTTTAAAGATTTTTTTTCTACATTTCTAGACTTTGTAACTTAGTCATTTCTTCAGAAAAATTTTCAAAAGATGTTACAATTTTTGTTTTTAACACAGAAAGTTTGTGAAGCTATTGATGTTATACACATTCCATTATTGAGTTGTTTGAAGATTTTCCACCATTTCATTTTATATTTCCATGTTTAAATGTTCAGTATAGAACATTCTCCATTGTCAATGATTGTTTAAGATGCATTCTGCACAACCTGCATTTGAGTCTTTGATCTTTTTTTAATTTTTTTTCAATCTGATATAAGATGTAAGGAATGTATTTTTCATCTCATTTTTAGCTGCAAGTAACAGATTTTAAACACAGTTTTAACCTCAGAAGGAAAAATCAGGTTAATAATTTGGTGAAGTAGGACAGGCGGGTGATGAGCTGGCAAGCTTCTGCCAACAGTTTTCGTGCAATAACTTTTGAACTGTTCAACCAATGCTTTTTTAAATTTTCATATGTTGAAACTTATGTCAAACGGAGTTCAAGGTTGATATTGACTATTTTAACTTTTACTGTTCAGGAGTTATGGTCCTTAATCTGTTGGAAAAAGGCATTTTATATCGTTTCCATGCAATAACTAATGAACCACTTCACCAATGCTTATGAAACTTTAATATGTTGTTACTGATGACAAAATAGAGGTCAAGTTTTATATTGACGAATTTCACTTTTGAGGGGGCATAGAAAAACATGACATCCATGATCCTTCCCATCTTGCAAGTGCTCTCACTTACCAGATTTCTGTCAAATTAATATCAGCAATGTCTTGGACTATTTTGAAAATCATTACTGATCAAACATTTTAAAAAGTGTTATGCCCATTTATTACTTGGAAAATTGCATTGTAAGCACTCTCACGTGTACAATTCTTGAAATCAAATTTATACCAAAGGTTTATGTCACAGACAAATTTGAAAATCATTGCAGATCAAATGTTTTTTAAAGAGTTATGCCCATTGGAAATATTAATTATATGGAATATTGCATTGTAAGCGCTCTGAAGCCTTCATTTTAATTGTTATGAAAATAGAAGGTTTCTTTCAGCCATGTCTGAGACAAGTTCGAAAATCAGCACTGATCAATTATTTTTTTCAGGAGTTATATCCCTTAGAAATTAAAATTCTAGAGAAAATTGCATTTAAAGCACTCTCACATGTACAATTCTTGTCAGATTTTTATCAAATTTATATCAAAGGTTTATCTTAAACATTGCCGATTGTCATTGCCGATCAACTATTTTAAAGAGAGTTATGCCCCTTGGAAATATTACTTATATAGAAAATTGCATTGTAAGTGCTGTCAAGCCTACATTTCTATTAGTTTTAAGCCCTTGGACAGATAAAATATGTGCAACACAGGGGACATTGAAACTCTGTTCTTTTATTTAAATGAAAATAATCATTTTAGTTTAATGCAGATATCAGACTAGAGCAAAAGACAGAGTTACCGTATTCATTTTGAAAATGTATCATAGAAAAATAGGAAAATAGATCAAGAATTTTAAAAAGGTTCATTGAAATGGGCCCACATACAAAACATTTCTAAATAAAATTAATTTGAAAACAAGTTCTCTCCTGACTTGGATGGTGTATAAGTAGAAACTTTCTTTTTAAGGTGCTGGAAGACTATTATTATGCTGTGCCTATGGATCTAGAGGATGTTAATTCCTTTGTGGCCATCAGTAATGTGGTATGTATGAAATTTATTTATATGGCATATGTTTATGTAAGTGAAGAGATGTAAATACTGGAATGTGGTATATGTTAAATTTAGTAATGTATGTGATTAGCTGAGTAATTTATCATACTCCTGTTCCTTTCTCTTTTTGCACACTTTTCTAAGGAGCTTCCTGAAATTTGGTATCTTGCTTCATGTGAGCATGATTCACTGTTTGTTGCATTTTCAGATTTATTGTCATCAACTACATGTTTACTGAATACTTATATATTCTTACACATAAATGGCCATGTATGAAATTTTCATTGCATTTTTCTTGGCAACTACAAAGCAGGGCTTTCTTTACTGTGTGATGTGTTTTCACATCAATTGCACATCAACTTTCTGTATACTGAATACTTATAGCATGAGTATCATTACTATAGCCCACAGTTCAATTTGTTTCAAGATAAATCCAGTAGTTTGGCATATGTAAAACTGAGTATGAAGTATACAGTTATCTCATTAATCCATCTATGTTCAAGTAACTATAGGTAAAAAGGTATGTGTTAAGTCCAATACCATTATTTGTATTAAATTCATTGATGTGGTATGTGTTCAGTTAAATGTTGTTGACTGAAAACCCATTGATAAATGAATAAATGATTGATCAGTCATCTCAACATAGTTGGTTCAATTAATGCAATACATTTTATATACCTGTTGTAGCAGTTTCTTACATTTTTATGGCCCCGCCACAAAGTGGTTGGGCCATATAGGTAACCCTTATCTGTCATTCCGTCATTCCACAACGATCAGTTATTCAGACTTTTTTTCTAAATGCCTTCACATATTGAGCTGATTTTTAAGTGTGTGAGTCTACTATGATGAGTTACAGGTCAAGTTTATGTTCAGTTCCACTACACTGATAACTGCCGAAATTAAGGCTTTTGACTTTAAAAAATTTGTGAAAATAACAGTTATACAGACTTTTTTTCTAAACACCTTAACATATTGAGCTGATTTTTAGTATGTGAGTCTACTATGATGAGTTACAGATCAAGTTTACATTTGGTTATGCTAGGCTGATCTTTGCTGAAATTATGGGCTTTGGACTTTGAAAATTTTGTGAAAATAACAGTTATACAGACTTTTTTTCTGAACACCTTCACATATTAAGCTGATTTTTATTATGTGAGTCTACTATGATGACTTACAGATAAAGTTAACGTTTGGTTAACCTCGGTTGATTTTAGCTGAAATTTTGAGCTATGGACTTTGAAAATTTCATGAAAATAACAGTTATATGGTCTTTTTTTCTAAACGCCTTCACATATTGAGCTAATTTTTAGTATGTGAGTCCACTATGATGAGTTACAGATCGAGTTAAAGTTTGGTTCTGCTTTGCTGATTTTTTGCTGAAATTAAGGACTTTGGACTTTGAAAATATTGTGAAAATAACAGTATTACAGACTTTCATTCTCAAATGTCCACTCCTAAAAATGGCTTCCAGCTGTTTTTGCAAGCGGGGCCATTTGTGTTGTTCTGACATATCTAATTTTAAATTTTACTAGAAAAACCCACGCGAGCGTGGCTTGAAGACTACTTGAAATGTTTATGGTGATACACAGCTTGGGATAGTGTTTCTTAAACTGTTTTTATGTACTGATGCATTATGTTGATAGTTTTGATTAGTTTGTCAGTTCTTCTTCCATAGGAGTTTGAATGTCCAATTTGCAGCTTCAGTCTCGGTGTTACACAGGTACTCCTACAACGGAGGAAATAACTCAGAGAAGAAGAAGACAACCTAGAACACTGATGATTAAAACATTTCTCAGTGGTGCTAGTTTGTAGTATTTCTTTTTTTTCGAAAAGTGCAAGTCAAGTTCTGTCTCTGTGTGATACAGGTGCTCCAAGAACGGAGGAAATAACTAAGAGAATACAATCTAGAACTCTCTGATGATTTAAAACATTTCTTCTTGGTGCAAGTTTGTAGTATTTTTTTCGAGTGGTGTGAGTTCTGTCTCTGTATGACACGGGGGCTCCAAGAAAGGAGGAATTTACTAAGAGAAGAAAAAAACAATCTAATGATTAAACACATTACTTCAAGTTTGTTATATTTCTTTTTTCTTGAGTGGTGCGAGTTTGATAAAGTGATGAAAGTTGTAATAATTAGTGAGAGTGTTTGAGTAGTGCGAGTTGGCTGTGGGCCGAGTTGTCGTATATTTAAGACAAATTGAATACAAAACCATTTCCGCCTGCTTACAAAACGTAGACGGTAAGGAACCAGCTACAGAACTTTATTTAGGGTTTAATTAATTAAGCTACGCTAATTAAAGCATTTACTATATGAAGTTATAAAGTACATTATATACACTAACTATTTATTATTACATAATACTTCAGACGATAGTCGGCTCGCAGACAAACAGGCTAACAAATTTTGGTCTACAAAATTAATAGTATAGATTTTGTGGGTCATTTAGTTTTGTTATCTTCTTTGGGCCTATTGGGTAACCACATTTGTCTACAGTGAATTATTTTCCTGTAAATTGTTATTTTCCACACATGAAACGTGAATATGGCTCTATGACACAATCACAATCTCATTTCATCCGGACTAAGGTGTGGTTTTTGCTACTTTGTTACCAAAGGAGTAGGTCCCGTAAGGGCTGATTTTGGCCTCAAATTTCAGGTTCATCTGAGGAAAGATTTTGGACACTTTTTAAACACTTAAGTGTCTACTTCAGTCGATTCAATTAGTTAATGTGAAAGATTTGAACTGATTTAGTCATTTCAGACGCTCAAATTCAAGCTTGAATATGAAAAATCTATCAAATATGCCATAATATGTCACTTTTCAGATGGTTTTTGTCAAAAACGAAAGTGGCCGCATCTGTGTTCACTCTCAACCTTTATATATGTTATGTATTATCATCAAATACAACTTACATTTCAATATTAAGAATGAACACAAATGCGGCCACTTCCATTTAAGACAGAAACCGTCTAAAATTTAACTCAAATGCTACAGTTGTGAAGATTTCATTAATTTAGCATGAATTAATGATGTTAGTACCCAATATATGTTGAGCTTGTATTGTCAAAAACAACCCAAATTTATGTAGCAGAAGTATTCTACTTTTCAATAAATAGCTAAACGTTTACATTTTAACAATTTTGTAAAACTGCTATATTTTGGGGCCAAAAAGGGGTCTTACTGGACCTACTCCTTTAGTTCATTGAGGCCTTAAAACATGTCTACCAATAATACTGTTTCCCTATATTTATCATTGTACTGCCAAATCTTACTAAAACTTCTATATGATCTCTTTTTCAGCCAAGTTCTATAAAGTTGTCAGTCTACTAAATTTCATATTGTTTTCTTATTCAATAGAACTTTGTACACCTGCACATTTATTAGGTTAATCCGGGGTTATGTGAAAATGGGGTTGTTTTCAAATTAATTGTTGTTGACCAAGAAAAATTCAACTACTTGAAAAAAAGTAAAATATTGTGAAAAGAATGTTGAATTGCACTACAATAGCTTCCATGTGTATTTTTTGTACAAAATAAACTATATTCTTGTAAACCAATATTTTTGTGAAAACAGTAGATACTGCTTCATTAATGTCATATGAAATGAGTTTCTTGTATTTATAATATGAAAGAAATTATTGAACCAATGCATGCATATATACTTCTATGCTCATTATTTAACACTTATTACGAAATTATAGCATAACACTTATTACGAAGTCATAACATACAATCAGCAAACAAATTTCATTCAGTGATTTTTTATCGAAAACCATTAGTTGCTAGTTAACTCACAGATTTTGATAAGGAAGTTCATCAAATATGAACCTTGAAATACAATCAAAACAGAATCATGGAACATGACACTGCATGGATTTAGTGAGATTTTTTGTCTTGCCTGCGACGAAATGTCACGGAAAGCGAGTAATAGGTTTTGCTTTTCCGACGACTGTGATGGAGATGGCGTCAACAATTGTTAAGTTTTCTGCTTTTAAGTTGGTTTTGATAGGAACTTCTTGTGATAGATCAATGATATTTTGTATGGAGTTGCATTGCTATCAGTACATATCAATTTGAAGACTATTTTGAGGCCTCACCCACTAGGCCATGGTCCAATGACTTTTAATTAATTAGCAATTTTCAATGTTAAGTTTTCTGCTTAAGTTAGTTTGATAGAAACTACTTATGATAGATCAATGATATTTTATATGAAGTTGCATTGCTATCAGTACATATCAGTTTGACGACTATTTCAAGGCCCTGCCCCCAAGGTAATGGTCCAGTGACTTTCAATTAATTAACAATTTTCAATGTTATGTTTCTGCTTAAGTTAGTTTGATAGGAACTTCTTACAATTGACAACAATATTTTCTATAAAGTTATATTTGCTGTCTGTACATCTCAGTTTGTCAACCATTTCAAGGCCCTGCCCACTATTTGGTCCAAACGACTTTGAATTAATTAGCATTGTTGCTGTCCATCAGATTGTCTTTTTCTGAATTTTATGCCGATACTGGCGAGCCATATCTCTGTAATCTTTAAACTCCACTAAAATTTACTATTTATACATCTTACATCGATCTTCATATGTGCACTTTAAAACTTTGAACTCAACTAAAATTTACTATTTATACATCTTACATCGATCTTCATATGTGTACTTTAAAACTTTGAACTCCACTAAAATTTACTATTTATACATCTTACATGGATTTCTGAGTTTTAAGTTCTGTTTGGATTTCATTGATTCACTTAACTTTGAACAAGCTGGTTACCTTTTCCTTGGTTGAAAGAAGGAAGAAAATAACAAGGAGGCAGTCTCAAACAATGGCCAAAGAACCACAGATAACACCATGACTAAAGCAAAAAAAAAGGACAGACAAATAACAGTCCTCAAAGCACTACACTGCAATGTATGAACTCTGCATAAAACCTATGGTGATTGCTGTTGCTCTGAAGGAAGGACATTCAATCTTCCACAATATTAATTTTCA